TTTGACCGACTCAAAAAAAAATCATTTTTTTTTTCCAAAAAACCGCTTTCTCCCCTAGAAAAATTTTTGCGCACACCATTATTAGAGTAAGACTTAGAAGAAAAAACCAATAACTATTTATCAACTTCGTCATTTGAGCTGAATTTATCAAAATCTAAAAAACTTTTTCTGTGTAGAAAAAAAAATGCTGCAATTTTTTGCTTTGCAGGCCAACATAGGTTGCATTTGATTTTGGTGAAATAGTGATAAACGAAAACAAAGGTGAAATATGTGATAACGAAAACGCAAAAAAAACTTGAACCTGTTATTAAGTTCATAAAAAGCTCATGAAGCGCCTCCTCCGAATCAGTTAGCGCCTCCCACGAGTAAAAAAATAAAACAGTCGCTAATTTGAAAAAATCTTTTTTTAAAATACCAATTTTACTTTTCTTTTGTTTAAATTTAAGCTGCTTGACTACCAAAACTTTCTGCCTGACTTGAATGACAAAACATTTTTTTTGAAAATTTTATGATATAGTTCAATTTTGGTATAATTTTTTTTTCAAGTTAGATAGCCATGGTTCTTCTTGAACAGCTCAAATAGTCTTGATATACCATTTTAAAACTCAGAGCAGAAACAAAACTTTTGTAAGGTGTCGCTTTACTTTTAATTCTTTTATAAGTCATCTTAAGAATCTTGTACTAATTCACTTCCTGGCTGATTTTTTTTCCATCGGTAAATTCATGTATTCTGTCGAATAGATACATATTTGAAAGAAAATTTTAATTGCTAGATTGGTTGATTGGTCTTTTAATTCAATCTGATTTGAGTTATTTTTACTCACCTTTTTCAGAATCGAAGCTACATTTTGTTTCTTGCTTGCAAGTTTTATTACTTTTTTTATTTCTCGCACATTTTGATGGATTTATTTTCCTGTTTGGTTTGTTTTGTTTATTTACTTATTTACGTATTTTTTTAAGTTATTACCACATGGCTTGTCAAGCTAAATTTACAACTGATGATTTTCTTTATTCTCATCGTTCCCTTAATTATTCATGAAGTTTCCCCTTTGTTAAAACCTTGTTTCCTTTTTTCATAATTGCTAACTTTTTTCATTTTCAGAGGTTAAAATTATACTCTTTGATTTTCCTTCAGCAGGTAGATTTTTTCCATTATTGATAAATTGTTAGTAGGCACAATAGATAAAAGTACACGATTGGCATGATTTTTACTGATTGATTATTGGAGTAAACTTCTTTCATACCTAAAATTTGAGCGAAAACGAAAACTGAAAAACACAAAAAATAAAATAGCATATAGTCTTGTGTATGTTGGTACGTTCGGTTGTAAAATTTTTTCAAACTAATTGTACTTTTCGTAATAATCACAAAACTCATTATATTTTCTTTAGGAAAAAATGTTATTTGGTTTGCAAAATGTATAACTTCTTTCATTGTTAGGATAAAATACCCGTAATTTCGTTATCTTTTCAAAACCTTATCAATATTTTATGAAGGCTCTCTTAAACTTCTCAGAATGTTATCAGACTTCATTATGTGCGCATTCATTAAAAATTTATTATCTTTGCTGCTATGGAAAAACGAGCCAATCAATCTGTTGACATTTGACTAACAAATTGATTCAAAAGTGAACAAAATGAGACGCCAGTCGAGCCAACTTCAAAATTTGAGCAAAATCGATAAATCGACTTCCAAGACTTCAAACAAGACTGAAAAAACGCCGACAAAAACTGCATCTATAAACACGTCTACTTTGTCAGATTCGAATGGCCGAATCAAATCCACCTGGTCGTTTCGCCGAAAGAATCTTCGAAGCAACAATTTGGCCAACTTCACCACTATGAGTCCAGAACCGGCAGCAGTGAGTCCAAAAGTGTCCGTTCATTTTTACAGTTTTGCGGAAAACTCGAGCGAGGCAAAAGTTGTGCCTGCATCAACGGTGGACGAATTTCCGTCGCCGCGTAGTATTGATTCTACCAACTCGTCCAATCGGCCGAGACAAGAGTGGGCTAACAGCACATCCTCGAGATATAAACGCCAGAATCTCGTGAGTGGTGCACGTCACAGTTCTCAATGGTCCACTGATACTTCCGAAGGACCAGTTAGCCGAAATATTTCGACCGAAGAGCAAGGATGGTGTGTGGAAAGTCCTTTGCTTTCGACTAGTGGATACGAAAACGATAGTTTTGAACAAGAAGCTTCGAGCGAACCGATTAGCCGTCTTCAGAAATTACGAGGACTGTTTTACTCGTCTCGCGCGTCAGCGATGTCGGCTCTCAACTCAATGCGCAAGTAGTATCAGTTTCAGATGATTATCATTTCCATTAAGTCCTTCAAAACTTCATATCAAAAAATAAATAACAAATTAGTTGCAGTTTGTCTCTGCTCTGCAAGAAGCGAAAATAGCATGTTTCAAATGCAGCAGTTATTTTGTTAGTTCATTACTGATTTAAATTAATCGCAAAAACAAACAAAATTTGCATTTTTCAATGCGTTTTTCTCAAATTGGATTAAGACAAAAAAATGAAAAATTTAGACAAAAAACAAACGGAACGAAAGTCACTTAGATTGTTACCAGAAATTTTATTGTGTGCAATTTATTGTGCGGATTTCGAAAACAAAATTGTACTCCTAAAGGGTAATTTTTGGTTTTTATAAGTTAATCAGTAATTATTCTGAACTGCCAAAGTATTTGATGAGAAAATATTTTAAAAAACGACATCTTACATAGACCAACAAATTTCGAGAAGGGATGTTCAAAAATCTTTTTAACAGAATAAATTTTTATCGTGCTTCATAGCCAAAAAAAGGCATTTTTTGTTATAAATGACTCAAAATCTTCATTTAAAGCAAATTTCAAACGTTTTGCCCAATATTATGCAAATTTAACCCTTCTAAGACTTTGCTGGGCTGTGTTCAAGGCTTATCATTTAGTCTGGTAGTTTTAAAATATTTTTGATTAATTATAAAAATACCAAATCGACGCATTTCGCAAAACAAATAGCACCATGATATTCTGGTATAAATCTAAACAACTTTTCTTCCGTTCACCGTTCATATTTTGTCTAATCTTAACCTATTTTGAGAAACAGGCATTCAAATTTCTAATGTGATTCATTTTTCTGGATAATTTAGACCAACACTGTACTGTACAGTGATAACTTAAATTTTAAGAAAAAAGCCTAAGAATGAAATTCAAAACACGTTTGTTTTTCAATTTGGGTTTGTTTAAGGTGAAAATTGATAAGGACAAATTTGCTTTAAATTTTATCTTGAGCAACGTGGTGCATTTTTTGTCTCTCAGTTTAACACAAAAACGAAATATTTTTAGTTGGTTTAGCTAAACAAATGTAACACCGAAACCACCGGGTCAATTACTGGCAAACTATATCAACGTTAGACTTTTATTTAGCAAAGAAACAAGTCTAAGAAGGGTATAATCTCACAAAAGCATTAAGAAAATTATTTTATTTTTGCGCAAATCTTTTGGAAGTTGTACCCTTCTTAAACTTTGTTGAACTACATAAAAAGCTCATTTTGTTATAGTTTTGTCAGTAATTGATTCGTCAGTTTCGGCGAAAGGTTTCATTGAAGCCCGAGTTTTGAGAGGAAAAATGAACCATATTAATTGTGCTCAAAATCTAACCACTTTTTTTCATCAGTTTTAACCCAATTTGAAAAAAAAACAATTGAAGCCTTGGCTGGGGGTGAATTCAAAAAGAAAAAAGTATAATCCTTTTTTAATTTGGACGTTTTGATTGCTAAATGTTTCATTTGTTCCTTTTAAACTAAAGTAAGGAATTTTTATTCATGTTATTTTTCCCGATGAAATTCATGCTTTTGGAAAATCAATTGTTGAACTATCTGAGCCGCATATGAGAATTTGCTGTTTCGCTCTCATAACTAAAACGCTTTTCGAATCAGTGTGAGTCTCTTAATTTTTGACTACACTCTAAAATTTTTAAAAACTTTTTTGGTTACAGAATGATAAAATTCAGGAAAAAAAAACATTCTCTATCCCTCCCATCACACGCATTGTCAAGTAAAAAAGGAGATAATTTTAATTTCAGCACGGATTATTTGAACGAATTAGTTTGCTTGTTTTTTATTTTAGAATGGCTTTGAGCCGGGTTTATTTGCTTATGAAAAACGCTTGTTTATTGTTTCAAATTAGCAAAACTGGCATTATTTTTTATTTGAGAAAAGGGTAGGTTAAAATTTTTATTCTTTTGAGCTCACAGCAAAAATAGTTTCAAGCTGTTTTGAAAAATTGAGACAGCTTTTGTGAAAACTAATGAGAAAGCCGATTTTACCTGGAGAAGAAAACTCGCCCCGCACAAGCATATAGTCATATTTTTGAAAGTCAAATAAATCAAATTCTTGTGAAAAGAACACAGATTGCGGGCATGTATAAAATGTGGTTTTTTTTTGCATTTTGTATTTTAGACTTTTCAAATTAAGGATAATTATCAAAAATTTTGGTTGATGATGTGGTATTTTCAACACACATTTTCAACTTTTTTTTGCTATTTGTTCGGTGTTTCGAAAATTGAAGCCTAAAAAAATTGTCAGATGGCGTTAAATCACGTATCATTCTAAAACATTTCTAGCCGTGAAATGATTGATTTTAAATTTTTGTATAATTTTTTCAAGATATTGCTGCCAACCGTTCAAGATATTGCTGACAGGAGTTCGGTAATTTTAATCAAAATTAGAAGCTCGATGATGTTTCGTAAACTAAAAAGGTTTTAAAGTTTTTATTTTGGACTAAGTAAGACGCGCTCTGTCAAAAAAAGTGTTCAGAGTTTTATTTATCTGAATAAAAAACCTGCCTTATTTCAATTGATACAAGTTATGTTGGTCCAATTAAAACGTAACTAGATAAAAGATTGACCATCAGGTGGTTAAAATAGCTTGTCGATGAGGTGACTAAGGCTGCTAAACTTTTTAGAACTTTAGAATTTAAGAAGTAAAACCACAAACCTGACCTCCTCACACACCACTATTACTCACGATGGAATATTTCATTAGTAGATAGATATTATCTAGCCTAATTGTAGTTTCGAATGATTTTTGTGGCAATTGTTGTGCAATACTAATTCAAACTAGACAAAACTGACAATTTTCAAACCTTCGCAAAAATAAAAACCGACATGAAACATAATTCAAACCGACATTAAAATCATCGCTGGAATGTATTGTGGAATGCATCAGTGTATCAGTGGAATGTTTAGGAGCGCAGGATATCATTTTTACGTGGTGTAAAAATTCAGTTTAAAACATTTGTAGAAATTTCTAGCGGCAAGAGAAAATTTTTTTTAGCATTACTATCAAAATCCTGCCGTGTTCAGAATTTAAAAAAACCTTAATTATTGTAATCCTAATTTGATTTGAAAGTTACCAGATCACACCATTTTGCTTTATTGAACTAAGCATGAAGAGAAAAAGGTACTTTCAATCATCATTCGATGATTATTTCAGAGTTGAAATAAGAACAGTTGGAACCTTGTTTGAAAAATTCTACCCTCTTTTGTTTTATCTAACCTTTTTGTTCCAACCTTCTTTTCAGTCTTGTTTTGAGAAAAAAATCAAGTACAATTTTTTCAAAAAATTAAGATTTTGTTCAAAATTTTATGAGGTGTTCAAACGTTATTTCCAGTTTAACTATTGTTTTGGACTATGTGCAGTTTTTTCAAATAACTCAAAGATTTGAAAAACATCAAGTTCACTACGATTTGGGCTCTCTCGTTGTCAAAATGCCTTCCCTTTTTTTGAGATATAAAAATGATACTGTTGCGGTTTTACAACAAATTAAGATAAATTTTTTTTCTTGTGAAAATATTATCAGAAAAAAGGACGCGAAAAAAAACTTGAGCAAACGCAGGGGGAAGTTACACCAATTTAAGCTCCGCTGAGAAGACTAAGTACTACGTATTATTTAAAACTAAGCGCAGAAGTTATTCCCATATGTCAAAATCGCTGCTGAGACTGTTCTACTAAGTGTTATCTTACTGTTCAAATGCAAGCGCAGAAAGTTTTTCAACCTGTTAAAGCGCCGCTGATATTATTGTTCCAACTTTTGAATAAAGTGCGGAAAATTTATGCTTTTTTTGGTTATTTTTTATTCGTTCAATTTTCGACTTGTTAACCAAACGTTTTAGACGAAAATTTTTTATAGCATCTGAAAGATATCGTTGTCTTGAGCTCAAATTTAAAAAGATATTTCACCTGTGATATGCGTAAGGAGCGAATTAATGCGTGCAAAAATTGAATTGATGCCAAAATTTTAATCCAATTCTATTAACGCATGCAATAGGTGACGCTAAACACACCCTAAGAATTAACATAGCGTGTGGGCGATAACAAGAAAAAATGGAAAAAAAAACTTCTTTTATTTTCTCAATCATTTTGTCAATTATTCAACCAAAAAAAAATTTAAGTGAGCCTTTAGTGCAGTTGGAACATTCAGGCCTTCGCCCTGATACACGAGCAGTCTTGTTCTACTAAGTACACTTTTTGCTCCAGTTTGAAACCGATGCATGAATTTCAACTGCCGAGGAAACTAACGGACTATTTGCGCGAGCAGACAATTTTCTCATGCCTTTCTTACCTTCAACATGCTGTTTTGAAAAAAAATTTCTCGGGCAGGGTACTTTTTCAGACAAACTTCAAATTTTAACAAGTATTTTTTCTTGGTTTACTTTCAAAGAAAAAGATGGAATTTTTGTGCTCGGTTGCTTTTCTTCTCTAGACAGATTCTGATTTTTAATTAGTAATATTTGACGGAATTTTATTTCTTTTCTGAAAGCTTTTGATTTTCTGAGCTTGAGCATAAAAAGTTGTTAAAGTTATTTTACGTTTAATCATTTTTGCGAGGTTATAAAGGTCTGAAATTTGCCAATTTGGCCGATTTGTTGTGCTATCAACGCATGAGGGCTCATCAATCTGTATCAAATTCTTTTAAATTGAACAGAGGCGTGCTGTTTTTTGTCCTGGCCTTCGAAGAAATAGAGGAATGTTTATGCTTGTGATGTTATTTTTTTCGGACAAAGTAACTTGATATCGATGGTGAAAATCTAAAATTAACAAGCGGCTGTACTTCAACTAGTGGTGGAGCTGCTCTAGTCTGCTTGTTGTTCCGACTTTCGATACGAAAGTAACGGAATATTTGTGCTCGGGGTGGGTTTTTTTTTCTTCAGACAAATTTCGACTTTTTAACTAGCTATTCTGACGGAATTTTTAATATCATTCAAAAGTTATTGTTGTTCTGAGCTTAAATTTGAAAAGATATTTCACCTGTGATCATATTTCGTAAAGTTATGGGGGTTTAAAGATTGCCATTTTGACCAATTTGGGACAATTAACGCGCTATTAACGCGTAAGCGGAGATTTAATCCGTCTTAGAAATCGTTCCAAATTGGTTGAAAGAAGCTTATTTGCCATAATTAATTTGTTACAATGAGCGAAATCTATTCTTTTGTACTTTATATGGCGTGTGGGGGGATGATTTCACAAAAAATTTAGATTTTTTTTTTCATTTTATTTTATTACATTTAATTTTTTTGTGTTACTACTGCTCCATAAACCTCAAAAGGCAGTCGGAACATTCAGGGTTTTGCCCTGATACGAGCAGTTTTGTTTAATACTTAATTTTTTAACACGCAAATAATTACGGGTGGTTTGTCCCATAATCATAACTGTTCCGAACTGAACTGAGGCACACTAAATTGCCATAGTAATTCCTGTTTGAGGTATTGGCAGTCCTAAACTTATTGCTTATCTCAGTACCTTTTAAGGGGAAGAGGAAACGGATCTTGTTAACTATCCTCTCTCCCCCTCCCCCCCCCCCCCTATGGTACCTTGTAACGAATATTTCCCCTCCCCCTATAAAGAAAGAATTGAACAGTTAAGCATATCCGAATTTTCAGAATTTTCTACCATATCCGAATTTTCTACCGAGTTTTCTATTGCAATGGGGGAAGGAAAATATTTAGCAAGATCCCTGGAAACGTTCAGGGCTTTACCTTTTGGTATACGTGCAGTCGTATCTCGAACTTATAGATAACCTGTTTACTAATTATCCCGAAATCTATTTACATCGTGAGACAAAAATACAACATTAATACACGTCCTATAAAAACTATTAAAAAAAAATTGTTATTCTTTTATTTTGTCTTATTTAATCAAAAACACTTTTTGAAAGACGACTAAAATTAGATTACTCACTAAAAAAGGTGAGGCACATGTTTTATCTCAATGGATATTTTTTTGAGGATTTTAGGAATAATTGCTAAGTTGAAAGAAATATTGAAAAAAAAAAATCTTCCTTCAATTGGCTTTGAGATGAGAGGAGGATGAAACGGTTTTTAGTTAGGAATTTTCAGCCAATGAGAATCGAGCATTTTGATTGCAGCGCTAAAATTTTCTATCCTATTTAAATGCTAGAATAAAATAGTTCAATTAGGCCAAGGGGAGGGGAGTTTTAACGGCTGTTAATTTGATGATAGTTGCGACTGAATACGTTTAATTACTCTGAAGTTGTAAAAAATGAAATTGTAAAAAATAACATTTTCACTGCATCGAACGAATTAATGAAGAAAGGAAATAAATTTCTTTTTAACAAATGGCAAATGGCAAAAATATCTGAATCTGAAAGAATCAGTACTATGTCTTCTAATTCAACCCAAGAAGACTTAAAAGAGGCAGCCTTTCAAGCAACTGACGGTGTCCAAGATGATAGCTTTTTTCACTTGTTTCGTTCGTCTAAATCCAAATCGTCCAAGCGCAATTTCTCAGCTGGAGATGCATTGCTCGCTATTTCTCCAGCCAATCAGAAAGGAGACTCAAAGTTGTCGCTGCCCGCCAAGACGAGTGTTTCTAGGCCGACACCTCGAGTGGTAATTCGCGAGGAATCCGAAGACGATCCGGTTAGTATAGACGATTTCGTCAGCTCTCGGATCGAAACGCAGCCGAGTTTCTCAAACCCGACTCGAAGAAATTTGTCTCAAACGAGTGGTTCGAGCACCAACGACAGCTTTGATTCATGCGATGCTTACGGGTTCCGTTACAATACAAGACGACAAACTGTGATGCGAAACCCAAAATGGCAAGGGGGTTTCGGGGCAGATTTAATTGAAGAGGGAAGGGGGGAAGTCGGCGGTGGTAATTGTGAGTTAGGAGAGGCTGGAAGTGAGACTGAGGTGCAAGATTCAGGTGGCATAGATTGTCATTCCGCAACAAAAGGGGAGCGTCGCAGTTCCACCGGAAGGCAAAAAACGGCGGGAAAAGAGAAAAATGTTTCCCAGGAGGATTTTGTAATTAAAAGGGGAAACAAAGGCCCAACAAATTACAATTGGAGAAGGTTCAGAGCTGATAAATCTACCCTGACATCAGGTGTGGCTTCTAGTTATAGCAGGAGATATTCACCAACTTACATATCTAAATTTGGGGCGAACAAATCGGCAGACAAAATGGAAAAAGAAAAAGAAATAATGGGCCAGTTACCCAAACAATCGCATTTACTGGCCTCGTCATCAACTAAAGCTAATAAACATAGACGAGCTAGCGCACATGTTAGTAAATTATCGAATACTTCTACCGATACTGCTTCCAATTTTGCACAGAAAAGCAGAATCAATCGGAGCAATAGTGATGCCATGGGTGAATCAGAAGGTGCCAGGAAAACTTCCGAGGACACCGAAACGAAAGAAGCTGAGCGGAACTCATCGCCGAATAAACGCACGAAATCTTCTGAAAAACGACGAAGTTCAAGACCTCGGTTACGTGAAACGCTTCTTACGTTAAAAGACCTGGACATTTTCAAACGAGGCGCTTTTTCTGTTGATTCGCATAGCAATACGTCGCCGGTTGCTAGCCCCGGAGAGCTAGACGAAGGAGCTGGTTCCAAAAAGGAGTCCAAAAAACCGAGGGGGAATATTTGCAGGTCTCTGACAGCAGACTGTTCTGGACCTGAAACTGCGTCCCCCTCGGTGGGAGTCGGCGGGATTCCGAGGAAGAATGATGTGTTGGGACAGATGACTGACACGTCAACAGATGCGGATATGTCGAGCCGAGAGCGAGAGAAACGAAGAGATCGCCCGCAGATCAAAAGAAGCCAGGCTATCAATGGGTAAGAATTTTCAACTATCGATTGTTGATTAAAAAGAGAAAAATGGGTCAAAGTTTGACTTCAAAATATTATTAAATGAGCCAAAAATTATAATTTACAATGAAAAAGTGAAAAAGTATAGATTTATTCAGATGCTTGTTTTGCTTTCAAATGTCTTTTAGTGGTTGCTCCGTATCAAAAAATTATTTATTTGATTTTGGCAAATTTAGCTGGAATGAAAAAAAAAACAATCGTGCCAGTTAAGCGTATACATGTATTCTGCTAAAAACAGCGCAACGCACTATATTTTGTTTCTTTTTTTTTTAGAATGTTTAGACGTTTTAATTTTTAGGCGTGTCAGAGTCCGATTTTTTTTTTGAAATTTAGAAAAATATACTGCGGCGATTAAATTGCCGATTTGTTGTGTTTTTTGATGTTTTCAATCAAGTTTTGATTAAAAATTGTATGCAGGAAATCAAGATTAAATTATCTTATCTTCTTTTGAAAGCTACGGCGTTCCTGAAGTTTTGTTTTTAAAATAGTTTAAGTCTCAAATCAGACTCTTAATGAATAGAAAAGTTACAATTTACGGCGAACTTGTCTCGCTGAATGGGAGTAATCTCAAATTTGTCGTAGATTAAATTTGTCGGAGATAAGGAAAAGAATTTCCAACTACTTTCAAAATGCACAAATTTGAACAAAGAAAAAACAAGAAACGCGCAGCATTTCTTTTTTATATAAACTTAATATTTTGTACGCATGTTTTGAAGAAAAAAAACATTAACGTTACCTTTTTCGTTTTTCTAAAAATGAATAGTTCTTTCAATGCGAAAATTGAAACAAACATTTAAAATCGTATTTTGAAATCGTCAAGTTTCAGATTTGCAGTTTTGAACTGCAACGACATAAACTTCAAGTATATATGTTTCGCATAGAGCAAAAATTTTCAAAATCAATTTTTCACAAGCAACCCTAAATTATTAGAAACGTTTCATTATGCGCACTTTTTGAGCTTTTTTAGGGGGAGAGGTGACGGGATAAATAGATCAAGTGTTGACAAAAAAAAACAAATTGAAGTTAGATGGATGAAATGAATAACTCTTAAATCAAAAGAGGTCAGTTCTATGCTGCATATTTTTAGTGTTGTAAGCAATTGCTGAAAAACCGAAAATATTGATCAATAATTAAGTTTCAGTTTGTCTAAAAATTATATCGAAAAGTTCTTGTTTTTGGAATTTCTGTTTTTGGAACACACTTTTTTCTCTCTTCTTTCGGAGTTTCTGTCAAAACTTATTGGGCTTTCAAATTATACCACTGTCGACCCCTATGGAAGTATTAAAATTACTCAAAATAAGGAGGAAAAAGACATAGTTTCCTCCCTTCAGTTCGGGAAGCGGTCGGAACAATGAATAAACCTTTTCCTTTTATGTAATTGCACGGTTTTCTTGAAATTATCTCTCTGTGGTTGTAGCAAAGGAGTTTTTTCGTATTTGTCTGAAAAGTGAAATTATCATTTCATGAAGGTTTTTTGTGTGCAAAGATCCAAAACTGAAGTTTTTCTTCCATGGTTGAAAAAGTTTTGTTAAAAGATTTTAGCAGATCTTTCAAACGCTTTAATTTATTACGAAACATCAAATTTTTTTCATGTGTGTTTTTCACTTTGATTTGCTGACAAAAACGATTGCTAAATAATCGATCTTAATTTTCAAATTAATCGCGGTAAATTCAACAAGATTTTAGTATGGTTTAATTAGCAATTTTAGCCACTTCGACTAGATCAGTAAATTGATGTATCAGTAAACTGAAAACGGGCAGACCACATCACTAAACCGAAAACTCATAACTCAATTACGTAATCACAGTAGCTAAAACCTGCGATTGCTACAAATAGAAAAAAAAATTACGCAAAACAAAAACTGAATGAAAAAATGGAATAAAATAACTCTTTCCATGCTGTACGCACTCCAAATATTCCACCGCTTTCAAAATCAATTTTTGTTCCGAAATTTGTAACGAAATTGAGGGAATATTTTTGCTCGGGTGTTTTTTTCCTTCAGACAAATTTCGACTTTTAATCAACCATTTTTGACGAAATTTTTTTTTCATTCAAAAAGTTTTGTTGTCTTGAGCTTACATTTGAAAAAAATATATTTCACCTGTGATCAATTTTTGTAAAGTTATGTAAAACTAAAGATTGATTTTTGGCCAATTTGCGACAATTAACGCCCGATATATTTCGCGCTATTGAAAATTGTTCCAAATTGGTTGAAGGAAGCTTAATTGCCATAATTGGGTTGTTATTGGAGCGAAATATATCACTTTGTAATTTATATGGCGTGGGGGGATTTTCACAAACATTTAAGTTAAAAAAAATTCGTTTATTTTATTACGTTTAACTTTTTCATGTTAATGGTGCTCCATAGACCCTAAAAGGCAGTCAAAACACTCAGGGCTCTGCTCTTATACGAGCAGTCTTGTTATTTTTTGCGTTTTTGAATGCAATCTTTTATTTTTTCTCAGCCACTTGCCTTTAGGCAGTCAATTTAAGTATCGACAATTCAGGTGATAACCGGTGTCGAAAGAGATCAATCAGGCCATAGCAGTGACATTAGTCGATCAGCTTAGAAATATCTACATATTTTAAAGGAAAAATTTGGTTTTTTAAACTACAAATGATTTCCAACAAAAACTCGAATTGTGAGATGTCTCGTCTACTTTTGGTTCATCTGAGCACAAAACTGACCACATAAAAAAGTCATCAGCAATTTTGTTTGACTCCCAAAACCGAGAGCGGACGTTGTTCGACCCACGAAGTTGAGGGCACATATCATTTGACCATACTGCTGATACAAAACTCGACCATTTCAAACCAGGTATCAAAAACTAGGAGCAATGAAAACTGCAATTTTTATCAACTTCGTTCAGTCAGTTTTTCACAAATCAAAAACAATACTACTTGTATCAGGACAAAGCCTTGAATAATTGACTACACTTTCATTTGGTTCGGATACTTATGGCCAGAAAACAGTTTTCAACTCCCATCAGTCGATTTGATGTTGTTTGTGTGAGTTTTGTAAGTAATTAGTGGGATCAATTAGTAAAAAAGGGAAATCGGTCATTTTCAAACCTGAAATTTACTGAAGATTTGGAAACCTTTTTTAAATTTGACTAAAGGAGGGTCCTAAACTGTTGAATCGTGACTTTTTCGACATTTTTATTGGTCGATCAAATTGATTTCTCGATATATCTCGAAAAAATTGTACATGTCTTATGTTGTTTCAAAAAATCGACTGGAGAAAATTATTAGTTGATTACAGTATTGCGCCTAATTGAGTCACGGAGGTAGTCAAATTCAATATCATATTAGATCTTTTTAGTCGTGTTTTACATTACAAAAAATGAACAGACTAATTTAATCAAAATTTACGACTGACCCTGGATTCCCCTTTTAATTCTAAGGAGACTCTTACATAAAGTTTGTCCCGGAACTCATTTATTTTTAGGGTTTTCTGGGTAAAAATTCGTTCTTCCTTTTTTCTTTTTCATTGTCCCCTTTTATGTCTATAAATTATGTTTTGTAACCGTATCTGAAAGGGATGTTATTTTATTAGAGTTATCGTCGGAGCCGTCAAATTTAAATTACTCTCTAATGAAATTTTATCTGCTATTGTTCCTGAAATACCTATTTGGGAAACAAAAAAAAATGGGATAATTGTGCGAAGATTTATTGAGCAAAAAATAGTTGACTAAAAAGCTAACAAGTCGCAGTGAATTTGATTTTTCTTGCTTTACCACCGAAAGTTCGTGCTTACACTTTTTTAAATAAACTTTTCATGTATTACATCTCAATCTCCACGTAAAGTTTCTCAAAGTTCATTATTATCTACGTTATGATGGCTTTATTAAACATTTTCCTGCAATCTTGTTAATTGATATATATTTCAGTTGTTTGATAAGCAGCCATGATTACAGAGATAACACTGCTGTTAGCTACCGTTTTCTGTTTTAATTTTTATATTTAATTTCAATGCGGTCTTTTGGCTTTTTTGAACTGTAATTAATGATAAAATTTCAAAGGGTTTTTCGGTATGATGACTTATTTTACTTTTTTGCTTCGAGTTGTAAATTTTTCTTTCAATTTTTGCCAATTAAAATGATAAAAATTGTTCTAATGACGTGAGTAGTTCTGTAACGGTTGTTTTTTTGTCATTTGTTATTCAGTTGACTATCATGAATAAATTGTGCTATTGAGATGATTTTTACCCACAAGATTAATAAATAACTACATAGAGTTTGGTTTTTTTCTAAGCTGGTATTGTAGCCTAACCCTGAAACAACGAGCATCAATAACAATGGTTTCGAACCATCGACGTTTAGGCGGAAACTTTGCTAATTGATCGCGGCTCCCCAAAAACAGAAAATTTTTAAAAGAAAAACAACATCCATAAAAAAGATCCTGATTTTATGACCACTACTTTGCGACAAAAGTCCAGAAATTGCGACCAAGAAAAATCTACAAGGATTATGGGGATAGAACCGGAACTTCAAAGATCTTTTGAATTTTTTCATAAAACAAGTTTGAAAAAATGCGTCCAAAGTCTGCTCACTTTTTGTGCTCTGGCGGACGCGAACTTTAAATTTGAAAATTACTGTAATTTGATAAAAACTAAGTACTGGTTGGAAAACATGAATGTCATAAATGTTGTCAAATCCATGGAGGGGGGGGGGGTAGCAGACACGACTTATAAAACATAACTCGGCACTGTTTAATATTTTTTTAGACTTTGTTCGGAACTCTGCGGTGTCTAAGAATATTTGTTTCCATGAATGACATTCAATGGGTGGATTTTGAAATTCTGAACACAAACACGGCCGCAATCCGTTTTTTTTCGCAAAAATGAATGGTATGTTTAACAATTTGTTGCTTTTGTTATTACATGAAATAGTTATGGTTTATGGACTCGTCATCGGAAGTCAAAAGCATAAGCTGATGATTTTGGCTCGGACAATTATAAGTAACC